ATAATAGGTCTTTCTGTTTTTCTCTGTTGGTTCCTGCTGGTTAAGAGAAGGCAGGAAAACATCTGTAGAAAAGAATGCAGGAGCTCACTCTGCTGCTAGGAAGTCAGGGAGTGGGAGTTCCACAAGCTCTGAGCTCCCCATCCTTAAAGGACTTTATAAGCACAAGGTGACTTGGACTTTCCATGTCTGCAGAGGGGATAACTTCATTTTAATTAAGAACAGAGAGTAAATGAACTAAAAGCTTCTTACTGTAGTAAAAATAGATAACCCAAGGGAAAGTCATTTTGTGAATAATTTTTCTAATACAGCTGTGCCTCGAATACATTGAAAAATCACACCCTCCAGCTACAAATATTTGAAGGAATAATTTACTTATCCAAGGAAAGGGCAAGCACATTTTCTTGAATGCCAATCCTAATTTAAGGAGGCTGTGTGCTTTGCATGCACACCAGATTTTCTTCTGAAGTACTGGCTCTGCTTGGGAAATGAAAATGGAGATTCTTAGGAAATAAGGATTTGATTCTCTTTTTTAGAAGCCTGAGATACCAGATGCTCCTAATGCATCTGTCTTTACTGCTGCCCAGAAATCTTAGGAAGTCATCCATTCCTCRGTTACAGTTTCAGTGATACAAAGAGGTAGCTGTCTGCATTTTATACCTTGTTCTAAGTTATACCAGAGGTTCATAGCTTGGAAATACATTGTTATTTTAACCCAGTGTAAATCCTACATGGGTCACTCTGCAGTTTCAGCATTGAGAGACTTCATGTCAGAAAAATGTTTTCCTATCTCTTATCAGCAACAAACACACTAGCCATTTTCCCCCAGAAGGATACAGTTTATCTTAACACCATAAGATRCAGTTGGTAGCTACTAAAAATGTAGTTTTTTAAAAAGTGAAAGAAGCCAGTCTGAGTGGGTTATATATTGTAGGACTTCAACTAAATGATATTCTGGAAAAGGCAAAACTGTGGAGACAGTAAAAATATCTGGGTTGGGCTGGGGCTGTAGCTCAGTGGCAGAGTGCTTGCCTAGCATGAGTAAAGGCACTGGGTTCAATCCTTAGCACCACATAAAAAAAAAAAAAAAACTAAACAAATAAAGGCATGCTGTCCACCTACAACTATAAAAAAGAAAGAGAGAACCGTGGGTGCCAGGGGTTTAATGGAGGGAAGGATGAATGTCCATCATCATAGTGTCACATAGAATAGGGCAGTGAAAGTATTCCTCTGGGTGGAACTAAAATGGTGGACATATGCCATTATACACTTGTCTGAACCCATAGAAATACAATACCAAGAATGAACCCTAATATTATCTATGAACTTCAGTAAATGACAGTGTATCAGTTTGGTTCACCAATTCTCATAAATATACCACAATAATGCATATAATTAATAGAGTGCTGTGGCACATGCCTGTAATCCCAGCAACTCCGGGAGCTGAGGCAGGAAGATCTCAAGTTTGAACCCAGTCTTGGCAGCATAGCAAGACTCTGGCTCTGTGATCAAGTGCCACTGGTTTCAATCCCTAGTACCCAATAAATAAATAAGTAAAAGGGGAAACTGTGGCATATGGAAATTCTCCTTTATTTTCACCCACCTTTTATTTGTAAACCCGAAGATGCTTAAAAAGTCTATTAATTTTTTAAAAAATACATAGCAGAAAGACATCTCAGACTCATGACATCATCACCATGGAGATGGAAGAGGTGACCCTGGTGTCATTCTACTCAAGTCTTCTTTGTAGCCTCCAGCAATTTCATTTGAAAATAGTCATTAGTATATTAAATCCACCCTCCCCCCCTGCAGTTTTAGTAATTACTGGTATTACAGGTCTTTTTTTCAAGAACACAAAATTAGATACAAAGAGAATACAAAATTACTTACCTTCTTCTCAAGAAACCCCTGTTTCTCCACTGGGAAGGCTGAGGCAGGAGGATCAGGAGTTCAAAAGCCAGCCTCAGCAACTTAATGAGGCTCTAAGCTTCTTCTCGAGACCCTGTCTCAAAATAAAATATAAAAACCAGATGTGGTGTAATCCCAGTGAGTCAGGAGGCTGAGGCAGGAGGACTGTGAGTTCAAAGCCAGCCTCAGCAACCAACTTAGCGAGACCCTGTCTATAAAAATATTTTTAAAAAAGGGCTAGGAATATTGCTCAATGGTTAAGTGCCCCTTGGTTTAATCACTGGCACCAATAAATAAATAAATAAATAAGATAAAATATAAAAAGGACTGAGAATGTGGCTCAGTGATTAAGCAACCCTAAGTTCAATCCCTAGTACCCACTCCCCCCCCCAAAAAAAAAAGAAAAAAGAAATCCCTGCTTCTTTCCATCAGAGATTTTATTTCGCTTCTTCCTCATTCCAAGGAGTTGGCAACTTTGCCACCCTTCAAGAGCCTGCTTACTTTACTTTCTTAGCCAAAAAGAAAATCTGTGCTAGCTGCCCTTTATTAGATGTGTGTTTAACTAGCAAAATCATTGGTACTGCATTAACACAGAGACTACGTTCATACAGCAAAGGGAGGAGCCTTGATTTCTTTCTAATGGTGTGAAAAGTGGGTGGCTGGATAATAACCACATACATTTCTGAGGTTATGAGCCTGCTGCATACATTGTAGAAAATGCCACTAGGAACCATGCAAGCAGTGATGAGTAGTTGTTAGGACTTGCAAAAGGAAACCCCCACAGCTACAAACTTGCAAATCAATCAAAGAAAGGTGTGTATTAAATACTTCATTTTGCAGCATGTAAAATGAATTTCCCTTTGTGGTTTAAAAAAAAAAAATGCCCTGCATTTAATGTGACTCAGTGAGAGCCAAAATACGAAGTCAGAAGGAAATTTATATTCTCTATGATGTCAGTGGTAGATCTACAGTTGTGAAAAAAAAATGTAATCTTCTACCTAGAAGACCAAAGCAAAATCCTTCAATTTATGTAGACTAATAGCAAATATCCTTTCCAAAAAAATGTACTAAGAAGTGGCATGTCGTGGTGCATACCTGTAATCCCAGAAACTCAGGAGGCTAAGTCAGGAGAATCACAAGTTCAAAGCCAGCCTCAGCAATTTAGCCAAGCCCTAAGCAACTTAGAGAGACCCTGCTTCAAAACAAAAAAGTAAAAAGGGCTAGATATTGCCCTTAGTGGTTAAGTGCCTCTGGGTTCAATTCCCGGTACAAAAAAAAAAAAAAAAAAAAGGTGGGATGTGGACCGGGCTTGGTGGTGCACACCTGTAATCCCAGCAGTTTGGGAGGCTGAAGCAGGAGGACCACAAATTCAAAGCCAGTCTGGGCAATTTAATGAGACTCTATCTCAAAATAAAAAATAAAAAAGGCCGGGGAATGTAGTTTAATGGCAGAGTGCCCCCTGAGTTGAATCTCCAGTACTGGAAAGAAAGAAAAGAAAAGAGGGAAAGAGAAAGAAAGAGCCAGGCACAGTGGCATATGCCTGTAATCCCAGTGGCTCGGGAGGCTGAGACAGAATGGTGAGTTCAAAGCCAGCCTCAGCAAAAGCAAGCCGCTAATCAACTCAGTGAGACCCCGTCTCTAAATAAAATACAAAATAAGCTCGGTGGTCAACTGCCCCTGAGTTCAATCTCCAGTACCCCCCACAAAAGAGAGAGAGAGAGAGAGAGAGAGAGAGAGAGAGAGAGAGAGAGAGAGAGAAAGAGAGAGAGAGAGAGAGAGAGAGAGAGAGAGAGAGAGAGAGAAAGAAAGAAAGAAAGAAAGAAAGAAAGAAAGAAAGAAAGAAAGAAAGAAAGAAAGAAAGAAAGAAAGAGAGAGAGAGGACATCGGAATTGGGAATATAGCTCAATGATAGAGCATATGCTCAGCATGTGTGAACTCTTGGGGATTCAAAAAGAACAGAGGATTGTTTCTTACATGCCTGCACAGCTTAAAGGACAGCAAACAAGATCTCTAGGCCCACAATCTGATTCTCTTCTATAATATTTTCTTGGATTGATTTTCCACAAAGAACTCTGATGATAGGAGAAATATCACACTAGCTCCTTGTAGGGCCACCCAGCTCAGTACTGGTGRAACATTTCTAATCTGAAAATACATAGTGCTCAAAAATTTCAGATTTAGGAGAACTTTGAATTTCAGATTTTCAGATTAGGGATGCTCAACTAGTGAAGTCTATGTGAATATTCCAAAGTCCCAAAACCTCCCGAATCTGAACCACTTTTGATCCCCAGTATTTCAGATCAGTGATATTCAACCTGTGTTCTATTTCTGCCTGCTAATGAAAACAAGGAAAGAATGCATGGTAGTTCAGCTCCACAGTAAGTTAAAGATAAGGGATCCAACTCCAACATCCCTGATTTTCTTTGAAAATTCAATGGGCCTCAATTATTTAAATTGATTTAGCTAAGAGGAAAAGAAGGGAGTAGAAAGAAATACATTGTCATATACTTCAGTTCTGGAATGAAATTAAGTTTCCTTTTAAATACAGRTATCTCTGAAATTATGGGAATTTACAAAACAAAATAATGTGTCATTTTTGTGATATAAGATGAGAACCTGCTCAATTTCCCTAACCCTCGCTTTCCACTTCTTGCCTGGGGTCAGAGGGAGGTGGCCCAAACTCCACACTCACCAGAGGTGAGCTGCCTCTCTGTGCTTCATGACTGTTTTTCCTGAGAGAAGGATTTGAATGGGGTAAGATTAACTTTGATATAAAAGACCCTTTCTTCCAACACCATTGGGCCAAGAGAAAAGAGACTCCTGAAATTACCCTTCTCTTGTTGTCCATGATAAATTGGAACCTATGGTCAGAAAAAGAATCAATAGAGAAGGTAAGAAAGTCAACAGGAGGCCTGAAAGAACAATACCAACAGCTGGGTTTCTCTATCCTGATTTGCTAACAAGCATTTAATTATTTGCTCCAATGACACTCAACACAATCTACTTAAAGAGCATTGAAAAYTACTATTATAGAACATGTGTCTAAAGCTAGAATCATTTTCCTCAACCTTGTCCATAATTCTTTTCCTTTGCAGGGCAACGGGCTTCGGCTTCTTGAATGCTCTATGCAAAGCAGCAACCGTCCTGGGAAACTTAATTTTCGGCTCCCTGGTTGGCATCACCAAAGCAATCCCCATCCTTCTGGCTTCTACTGTGCTCGTGTGTGGAGGACTCGTGGGGCTGCGTCTGCCTGACACACGAACCCAGGTTCTGATGTGATGGGGGGAAAAAAGCCATTTTTGTGTGTTTCTTTCTCCTGTGATGCRTCAATTCTCCTGACTCAAGGCTTCAGATTTTTCATATATAGAAAGGTGGTTAAGTATTGGAACACAACTCTTGCTGTGACTTAAAATTTAGACGCATAACATCTTG